GAGCCATGGGGAAGGGGAGGAGGCGAAGCACCCACTTCCTGCCTCTTTTAAAGAGTGTGGAGAGGAAGGGGAGGGAATAAACTGCTTTCCCCCAGGACCCTCCCAGGTCCTAGAAGATCACACATACCCCCAAGCCTCAAACCACAACAGCAACCAACACCAGAACACTGCAATTTCCCACAACCACTGGCATTTACAATTTTAATACCTATATTTTAGACCAAATTATTTGTTTTGCATATACACGCTCTAATTTCTGTGGAGATGAAAACACAGAAGCAGCAATCACAATGCAACTGTCTGCTAATGAGCTGTATTATATTTACAAGTTCTTACTACACAGTCAAAAATGGCTAATCACTTATGAACATACTTCACCAGGAATTCAGCCCTTCATAACAACATTTTCAGAGCTGTGATTTTTATCCTCTTGTACTACATATGGGCACATGAACAAAATCAGATGAGTGGAAGAAAAAACTATCGATATTTTACCAGCTGAACTTTCATATATATATAGACAAACTAAATAAGATACAAGTCTGACCTGTTAACCACAAGAAGCCTTACCATAAGGATATTTTGTGTCTAGTCGATGTGCTGCTGTTCTTGTCCAGGGTAGTACATCATCGCTGCAGCCATTAGGCATCCCATTGTATCCAATTCCAACAATTTTGTTCTCCGGATTTACAATGCAGGCACCAACCTAAATAAAATCAGATTTATATTGTACCAGCAGCATGCAAAACGATGTAACAAGAAAGATGAGACCTGAAAAGTCAGCCTACAATTTTCACTCAAGAGGTACAAGCTTCGCTTTATATTAAGTCACACCACCTAGTGAGCCAGGCTACAATTGTACCTAACTGGTGGAGCCTTAGAGTAAATCAGAGAAGATAACAACCGTGCTACCCCTCTGGTTGTGCAGTCCCCACCCCAGCCAGCCAGCGCTGTTCCTTGTCCACCTTCTGACTACGGAGTGAACCTAATTTGTTGAGCAGAACCAGCACTGAATTAGCCCTACTGTACCAAAGTTTGCTCTTAGTTTAACTCCCCAAAGTAGCTTTTCCAGCAGCAGTACGAGGAGCAGCAGCAGCAAAAGACGTGGAAGGTGGAACAGAAATGTAGAAACATTGACCTAGGCAGAGACAGGCTCACAAACCTTTGTGGCATGTTTACACAAATGTGCACCAAACTATCAGACCTTGTAACTCCCACCTTTTATTTAAGTCCACACGAGGACCCTTCTTATAGAATGATGAAGTGTCCTGGTTTTGTGTTTTCTGCCCATATTTTAGATTTATTGAAATGGCAATAGTAGTGACTTTATTTCACACCACATGTTTATCAACCAGCTTGTGGGTAACAAAACTGTGGCTCTAAGTGAATAACCTTCAGAGGACTTGGAGTCATAGTGTACAGAAGCCAGAGAGGAACTGAACAGCCTGTTAATATCCATTTTACTCCATTGCTTTTCTGGGATGTGCTTTCTGAACTTTTTCACACAAAGGAAGAGTAACAGGACTACTTGGGTCCTACAGAACAACATGTTTCAGGAAACGTATCAACCACCTCAAACCAATATTCAACAGTGGCACATGAAAGAAGCAATGAGTGGGGAGAGAGTGAAGCATGGGGTGGAGGGGAACCTGAAGGAGGAAACAAATGAGAAGGAAACTCCAGTCCACCCAAGAACAAACAAAAGGGAATTTTTCTATTGTTACATGTGAAGAAAAGGAACTTCTAAAATGCTGTGTCTTAAAAAATTACAGTCAAAACTTTCAGTAGTTTTATCCTCCTCTAACAGTAACCATATTTATTGAAAAAGGAAATACATGTGTTATTTTAACCTCCAGGTGAAAAGATTTACAAAACTCCAGGCCGCAAATGTATACACAGAATTATACACCTAAGGTCAGGCCCAGTAAGAGAATTTCTGTAACAAAAGGTGCTGACCAAGTTAAAAATTGAAGCGCTATATACTGAAATAACTTTTAATAAGAAATCCCTGAAAGCACTACATGTGCATCTGATGTGATGTGCAATATATATTAGGTTATATCATTCTTATATGTTGCCTTCTTACCTGAGAACTTGGATCCTTGCTTCTTTGTGCTGACAAAAATGCTACTGCCATAAAATATTCAGGCCATTCCAAATAATCTTCTCTTTTTTTGCAGGACGCTTCATTGCTTAAACTATAGTTTATGGGGAAAAAAAAAGCCAGCCATCAGCAACCAACACACAGCTAAGAGTTATTACAGATTGTACTATTTCAATGTGCACAATTTTAAAGTAACCAGGATCAGAGTCTGGCTAAGAAGACCACACATTCGCTAATATTTTACAGTAAAACCATCAATGTCCTGTGCTTTCCAGGAACTTACACATGCGTGGGAAAGGCACCCAAGCAAGGTTGCAAATTTCAGTTTTAGATGAAAGGCTGAGCTAGTCAGAGACAAGGCAATTTACCCATTACAGAAAACACCTTGTACATTTCTAAGATTCAGGTATATCACTTTTGGGCATTCTTTTCACCCAAACAACATAATCGTTTTTTTTGTGATGACTGCACCAACTGCAAGCCCCTAATCCAGGCTATTTTGTACTCCTGCCTACAACATGTGCTTGCTAGATTTCTATTTAGTAGCTTCCTGTGCTGTCATTTGTTTCTGCCCTAATAGTTATTACCATGAGTTTGCCTCTCATTACACTACTTACCAGCAAAAAAGTGAGGCCATTCTGATAGTCCACTGCTAAGTTTCTCTTAAGATTATGTCCTATGAAAGCCTTTTAAAAACTGAGAGGAGGTGGGTTCAAGAACTTTTCCCTTAGATACAATGTATGAAAGTGACAGAAAAGTTGTTCCTTTCCCTGCACTGGGGGATTTATTTGGGACAAGAAAGGGGGAAAAAAAAGTGATGCATCATTTTCTCCTGCCTGCCTACAGCTGAAAGACTGTTTGGATAGTGTTAGATGCAACTGGGGAACTTCTATGCTTTTCAGCTCAAAGCAATGAGAGAAAGATCTCTCCCTCTCCCCCAACATATCTAAGCTTTGCAAATTTCTAGGAAAAGAGCAAATTCAAAGAAGTTTCCCCAAACTGTCATGGATCATTGCTACACTTGAAAACCAAAGTAAGGAAACATCTCAAATACAATAATTAGTCTATCAAAATACAAGGGGCAAAGTACTTTTCTTCTCGGGCTCCTTTTGCCCAGGACTACAGTTTTAGACTAAGATACTCGTCTGGTGATGTACAGCCACGCAGAAAAACACATCACAGGGAACTGCAAGCAGCAAGAGATCTCCTAGCAACACTGCTGCCAGCACTTTCAAAGGCAAATAAACATTAGAAGACAAGTATTTTTTTAATTATTGTTTTTATAACCAAACCCATATATTAAAGGCTCACAGGTTGTCATGAAGAGGTTACGCTATTTGAGTGAAGACAATGTCAGCACATGATAAAATTGTATTTTAGAAACCTACAAGGTGTTATTTACCAAAGATAAATTGTTGGGTTTGAATAGTTCATACATGGCACATTACAAGTTACCAGGTTCGTTTTGTTCTTGGAATGAATGAGGACCACTTTTAAGGCCGTTGTCTCAATGTAAGGAGGAAGAAACATACACTCTTGGTGTAACCAGCACACCCCTCTCATACTTTGACAACACTGTAAATAGTGCCCAGAACTGTCAGTTGTCAAAGCAAACACACAAATCAAGTATGTGATTCTGAGAGTGCCCAAACTGGCTCGAATCATCATAACTAAAGAGTTGGGGCCATAACCTGCTAAGAAAGAAAAGCGTTCAGAGAACAAGCTCACTGTAGAAAAAAGAAATTAAAGACATGCCCTCATACCTCTCTGTGCCAAACTGAACTTTGACAGGTTAACTGAAATGCCAAGAAAGTGATTTGGCTAATTTAAGTGTTTATTTAAAATATCTCACAAAAGCAGATTTACAAAATCCAAAACGCCACCAGAGTTGCAATGACCTGTTTAATACATTCCCCACTACGTGACATTCACAGGGATGCCTTGGGCGAGGCGTGCAACACACAGTGCAGGACTGCACCCCATCAGACATTCTGGGGAGAGGGCTCCAGAAAGACAACAGTACTCTGAACGAAGAGATTTCCTTTTCTTAAATTATTCCCTAGCAATGCTATTTATTCAAAACACAACAAAAGCTACTATTTACTTTTCTCTTAAAATACAGAACTGTATGTAAGTGGAGGTCCCTCACAGCACCAACTTCACAGGGAGAAGAGTGTATCTGAAAAATGAGCAGAAGGCTTATATCAAAGAGAACATTAAAAACAAACAAACAAAAACAAAACAAACAAACAAAAACACCAAACAACCACAACAACAACCCACTCTCAACCCTTACTCAAATACTTCTACTTAACATCAGCATGTTTGGTGAGATAATTCCCTCAACTCAGTGCTGAGGAATGCAAGAGTGTGAAATGGGTATAAAACACTTAATTTCTGATTGAGCAGAAGCCAAGGCCTTGGCTAGCAGTCAAGCACACACAGAGGAAAATTAAGTTTATGGATTTGGGGCAGCTGATCATCTTCCTTGCGCTCATTTGTAAGTTCCAGAATTGCATGAATGAAAGCTACTCTAGAAAATATTATAGCTAGCTGTAAAATAAGCAATTAAGGCTTATCCTTTTGATAACCCACTAAAAGCCATGAAGGAAGCACTGCTCAAGAAGAAAAGGAAAAAACAGCCTTAAAATCTAAAGCGATTACTAGTCTGTAGAAAAGTCTGTGTAAACGGTATTTCAAAGGAGAACACAGAAAAACATCCTGCAATTAGAGGACAGTGCCTTCCTTTTCAGCTTTTTCATCCATCTAGGCTTCAAGTAAGCTTTAATATCATCTGAAGAAGGAAAAAAAAATCATTCAGCTAGAAAAAAAAAAAAGTCTATCTTAATGAAAAATGTAGTTGAAAATCCTAAGACAGAATACATCAAATATTTTCACAGGACAGTGATGATGGTCAACTACACAACAATATAGCACCACTGGAGAACCAGTAGGTAGCAGATCTTCCCTTCTCTCTCTTTTTTAAAGTTTTTGCTTTCTTATCTCTGATGTCATGTGCATTATGTTCCAAATGTATTGTAGAAGGGTTTTTCCCCCCAGTATCAAGTACGCTGCTGAAGCTCAATTATCAGTATTTTGTCACTACACTCACCAAATTTAAGGTTAATAAAAAGTGGGTAAAATGTGTACTAAAAATAAAAATTAAACATCTTCACCAATGTTCTTGGTCCCCCAAAGCCAAGTGGGATGTGTTTTTGATGACTTTCAACACTAGGTTCTTTAAGTCTCATAATTTTATGATCACTAATGTATTAAATAATTGTGGCATTTTCTTTACTTGAGTTTTGTCATCTTTACCCTCATATACATACTGAGATATGGTTGTTACCTACTCTTTAATGGGAGGTAAGGTTTTAAAAGAGAGATGGAGACAAAAAACAGCATTCATACAGAAAAACCATATTCTGTGCATTGAAAATTAACTACATTCAATTTTTTCCTGAAAGATAACCTACCGAACCTGTAAATAAAAACTCTGTGTAGAATTATTAAGCCCCACTTGAGCAGTACCAGAATATTTCGCTTCATTTAATGTATTCTGCCTTCACATCATCACTTCTTTGACGCCAGTGAACTGCATATGGCTCACGCCGGTCTCTCAGGAAATGAGGAATACACCATATCCAACCTCCTCTTTTTGCCATCCCAGCGGCTACAAAAAATAAATGAACGAGGCCATGCCCTCTCGGCAGGGCCGTCAGAGGCCTCAGGAACACCCACGCCAAGC